AAGACACTTCAAAACAATGATAAAACCAAGAGAGAAACTTTACTGTATTTATTTCTAGTGTAATAACCTATCTATTAGTCATTTATTTATATTTATTTAGCATTGTTCAACTTAAGATATACTATTTAAATCAATAAACATTTGAATGTGTTTAATGCCCAAAGTATGGTGTTAGGCTTTGTATATTGTATTAGATTCAATACTTATGCTTCAGGCAGATATTAGTACCTAAGCCCAGTTTAGTGAGCTCTATTGGGTTTATAAACTATGAATATGCGTTATGCCAATGTGTTAATTATTATAATTCTTATAGTCTGCGCAAGGAATATCTTGGCCAGCTAATCTATAGCTACTTAAGCCACAGAAGTCCGTATATCTTAAATACAATAATAGCAGGTGCTCATTTTTTTCTATTCTCCTGTGTTCTGGAAACTATTGTTTTTGTTTTTGTTTTCTGTTTTCAGAAGGGTAAATATGACGGCAGAATGACACGTAACCTTATTTTCCAGTAGTGTATGAAGATGAAACACTTCTGGGATATTTTTGAGAACTTTGTTGCTTTTTATATTAAATCATTCTTTTCAGTAATATGATGAATGAATAATCTATTCAAGTCATTAAAAAGCAAAACATTGGGAAAAAAAAAACCTCTTCTTAGTCGGCTAGATAGAGCTCAGTTACTTAATGAGACATACTTTTACATAGGGTAGCACACTATATATGCTATTCCACATCTTGCAACATTTAGATAATAGTATCTCTTGAAATTATTTTCAAATCTATACATGCTATTGCTACATTGGTATTGCCTTGTATATATTTATCTTTTAACCAGTTCTCTCTTGATGAACATTGGAATTAGGTTTTTTCTTAGTTTTTTTGCTGTTACAAATCATGATGCAATGAATAACTGTGGCGCATGTATAATTTCACAGATGTGCAAGTATATCAGCAGGCTATGTTATCAGAAGTGGAAATGCTGGGTCAATGTATGCAGTTTGTATGGGTGATGTAGGTGGATGTTGCCAACTTATCCCCCATAGAGTGTACCAATTTACACATTCCTCAGTGGTGGCATTTCTACAGCATTGCCAACAAGTATGTTTTCACACTTTAGGATTTTTGCCAGCTCGATGAGTGGAAAGCAGTACCTCAGTATAGTTTTAATTTGTATTATTTTATTATGAGTGAGATTAAGTATCTTTTCATAGTTTTTAGAGCCATCCTTATTTTTTCAACTTTTTTATATTTTTGTGCCAACTTTGTTTGTGAAATATTTTAATAATTTTTTAAGATGATAATTTTTAATATTTATCTCATATTGGATTATATTATTATACCATTCTTTATCTTTCTGTAATTGGGCATAATCTCCTTTTGGAGTGTGCCAATTACATTTATTTTGCTGAGAAGGTTATTAAAAATTTTCCCCTCTAAGGTATTTCTTTGGAAATCAGGAATTCTAAAATCGATTGCACATTTTTTGAATTAATTAGCTATGAGTAAACCACATAACTTATCTGGATCTCAGTTCCTTCATCTGTAAAATAAGGATGTTGGATTAATGATTTCCTATTTCTGTGATCCTTTGAAATTTACCAAAAGCAATACATCAAGTTTAATAGCCCTAAAATAATAGGTACAGAAACAGGGCAGTAATATACTATTGCAGGTTTTTAAAAACCTATTATAGAGAATGTTCTGCTTTAGTAACAAAACTATCTTTCACTTGCCTCCTTGACATTCGTTGGTTAGAAATACCTCTTCATCATTTTCAGCTCACATCAAAGCTATTTTTTAAAGGTGCGCACGCGTGCGCGCGCGTGCGTGTGTGTGTGTGTGTGTGTGTGTGTGTGTGTGTGTACTGTTAGGGAAGAAAAATACACTGCTTTTGATTTAATTTCATCTACGTCATAAATTTGCATACTAATCTTCATTATTGCATAACTGCTGCCAATTCATCCATTCAATTTTCTAGATTCAGTTGGAAAGCTGATCATAAATCTGTTTGTGGTTTCTCATAAAAAATTAACACATTCAACTACTTATACTGTTTCTTCACTACAAAGCTAGGGTTTAAATTATAATAGAACCTGTTCTCAGTGGGGTTTTTCTTTCTGTTTACTTGGAATCTATAAAAATTACACTAAAGTAGGTGAATAGAAATAGCTTTTAATGTGTACTTTGGGGAATGAAATTAGAACAATTGAGGAAATGACATGTATAATGGAATGTAACAGGCCCTGTGCTAGACTATGCGTTTAAAAAGAAGAAAAAAAACCATACTTTTAACCTTAAAGGAAGCTCAGAGCCAAGTAGGGGAGAAAAACTTATATGTAAACAAATACGTTAATTATCATAAGATCCCTACTATTAATAAGAACAAAATAATTTAAATTAGGAAGCAGTGAATTATGCTTTGAGACAATCAAATAGGAGGAGCATGGATACTTTGATTTGAAAGTCATGTAACCAGAAAAAAATGCCTCTTTCTCCTTCAGGCTGCCCGGTGGAATAAGAGAATTAGGGACTTTACTCTGGCCTCAATATCCTTCTGTTAATTCTCTGAGATACCAGAGATGATCCTAAGTCTTTTAGTATGCCCCTGACATTTCTATCACTGATCAAAATTCTACACCATTCTGAGGCTCAACACTAAACCAAAGCCTTTGCTGACTGACCCAGTCTTAGGCTGGTCATAATTTGTTTTTCAATTCTCTTAACATCTATACCCGATATATTTATATGTATTGAGGATGGAAATGTACAATTTCAGAAATGTTTAATGTGAATCTTGTCTAATTAAAATGTAAAAATTTGGGGGCCTTTTAGGTATCACATGGGGATGAATAGTATGAACTTAATTTTGTTATGTTAGAACTTCCCAGTACTTCTCTCAGATGCTGAATTAGTCAGCTTTTGCTGTGGTAACAGACAACCCCCAAACTTTCGGGGCTTACAATAGCATTTATTTCTCACCAGCATTTGGTAGGTTGGCTAAGCTCAGCTCGTCCTCATGGTGCCTATCTCTCTGCTGAGATCTGATCATTATGGAACCCAGGTTGAAGGATTAATGTCTTCCTGGGGCATGATCTCTTGGGTAGAGTGAAGGGCACAAGAAGGCTAACAGAAATAGCTCTTAAAAGAACTTCATGGAACTGGGTCACATTTCATTGGTCATAGCAAGGCATTTGGCAAGGCACACACGCCAGATGAAAAGAAGGGGGAAGTATTACTTGCCTACCAGATGGAAGAGTGAATGTTTATTGAACAGTATGACCTAATATGGATATTCTGAATTAAAATAAAAAGTTAAAAGAACAGGTGAAGTTATAAGTATGAAGCAAAAGAACTTAGTGAGGAGGAGGGCTTCCAAGGTCCTAGGAGTGAGAAAAGATTTCCTGTAATTAAAACTTAAATTACTTTAACAAAAGTATTATTGACATTACAGGTAGGGGCAGCAAAGTGTCCTAGTTAAAAACTGGGCTCTGGGGTCAATCCACTCTTGGTTCAGATTCTGGATCTACCATTTGTAGCTATAGTGACTATTCTTCAGCAAGTCACTGTATCTCAGAATTCACTTCTGTAAAATGGATGAGCTGCTTATCAAACTGTTGATTTTCAGCTCAAAAACTCATCTCTCATTATCTTATTTGTGATATTGGAAATTTCTTCCTTTCCAGCTTTTGTTAAGCTTTGTCAGTAGAGGAACTAGAGGGAGACTGGAGAAGGAAGGGGTGCTATTTCCTGATTCTAGTGTGCTCCTTGTATGCTGCAGTGGCCAGCAGCATGTGGGACACCCAGTGGCACTCAGCTCCTAGGAACTTTTAGTGGCAACACTTCTACATGCAGTTTCCAAATGAGTTTCATACTGTGGCATCTTCTTCCCATGGACACTTTTTCGCGTTCTACTGACCTGAGTTTTTCTAGTAGATGGCTTTACTGTGAGTTCTGTTGATGTGGCACTTTAGTAAATTTCTCAGATATTGGTGGCTGTGTCCTCATCACAGGTTTGGAAATTCACCCTGTTAGGAGTAGCCTTTTTATATATTTATTAGAGGCCCAGTGCATGGATTTGTGCACAGTGGGGTCCCTCGGCCTTACAATTTGGGGGATGTAGGATTGCCGATTTTGGCCTAGTCCCCACAGGCCAGGCCAAGGAACCCCACTGGTGCACAAATCTGTTTGCACTGATCCTCTAGTATGCATATAAGGTCTTTGGTTAATCTCTTCCCACCCTCCCTCTCCCCACTTCCCTCTGAAATTCATCAGTCTGTTCCATGCCTGTGCATTGAGCGTCTGCCCCCTGCTGGTCAGTGCTGGTCATAGTTACTGGTCGAAAGGTCAAACAGTTGAATGGTTGCTTAGGCTTTTATATTTATATAGATTTTCTTTCTTTTTTTTTTTTTTTAATATATTTTATTGATTTTGTACAGAGAGGAAGGAGAGAGATACAGAGTTAGAAATATCGATGAGAGAGTGTCATTGATCAGCTGCCTCTTGCACACCCCCTACTGGGGATATGCTTGCAACCAAGGTACATGCCCTTGACTGGAATCGAACCCGGGACCCTTCAGTCCCCAAGCTGACGCTCTATCCATTGAGCCAAACCGGTCTCGGCTATATTTATATAGATTTTCTTGTTGGTCTGCATTGACCCTTGAAGCAGTGGCTGCCCTCTTTACCTACTGTCTTTTTTCCTTTTACTACCTAGTCTCCTATTGTAATTAATAATGCTTTATATTAAATTTTCTGTTCCAATTACTATGTGGTTTCTTGTCTTCTAATTGTACCTTGACGGATATATCAGGTTTATAAGTTGTACTTTTCTATACATTTATTCTGAGGATTAAATGAGATAATGCATGATATTTGCTAAGTGTTTAGAATGGTGTCTACCACTAGGTGTTTACTATTACATTTGTTTGTGGAATTGATGTAATCAACGTCACCATCACTACCACTAGTTAGGAGTAACATTTCTATTTTTTGTTCACAGGATGTTTCGTCTTAAGTCACTTTCTGCATTGGCAGAGCTGGCCCTGGGCTCTCGATGGTACCATGGAGGGTCACAGCCCACCCAGGTCAGGCGGCGGCTAATGGTAGTGGCTTTTCTGGGAGCATCTGCAGTAACTGCAAGTACTGGTCTTTTGTGGAAGAGGTGAGTGCTAGCTGAGCATCCTGTTCTTACATGTACTTTCATTCTTCCAATTCTAAAAAGAATTGATTTCTGGCTTACCTTTGTATCAAAATTATAATAAATTTAATAATCTAACAATTTAACATGTAAAATTAAGTAGTTTTAAGTATATTCCCAAAGTTGTGCAGCCATCATCACTTCATAAGAAACTTCATACCATTTAGAAGTCACCTTCCACTTTCTCCATATTCTTTGGCCCACCCAACCACTAACCTACTTACTGTCTATAGATTTGCCTATTCTGGACATTTCATATGAATGCAATCTTATCATCTGTGGCCTTTTGAGATAAGCTTTGTTCACTTAGCGTAATAGTTTCAAGGTTCACCTATGTGGTACCATGAACCACTACTTCATTTCTTTTTATGGTCAAATCATATTCTGTTGTATGGAGTATATACCATCTTTTATTTATTCACTTCCCTATTGATAACTGTTTAGGTTGTTTCTGATTTTTGGCTATTATGAATAATACTGCTATGACCATTTGTGTACAATTTTGGGGGTAGAGCATGTTTTCATTTCTGATGGGTATTTACCTAGGAGTGAAATTTCTGGATCATATGGTAACTCTGTGTTTAGCTATTTGAGGAACTGGTGAACTTTTTTCTAGTCTCACTAGTGATGTATGAGTGTGTGCACTTGTGAATGTGCATGTATGTGCTTAGATTTCCTTGTATGTAAAATGGGGATAACCTAGTGAAGGAAGTAGACATACAAGTTCAGGAAGCACAGAGTCCCAAAACGAACTTAAGGGGCCTACACCAAACCACAACATAATTAAAATGCCAACTGTTAAGATAGAATCTTAAAAGCAGCAAGAGAAAAGTAGTTAGCCTATAGATCCCCTAAGGCTGTCAGGTGATTTCTCTACAGAAGCATTTTAGGCCAGAGGGACTGGCATGAGATATTCAAAGTGATCTACAACAAGATTACTCTACCCAGCAAAGCTATTATTTAGAATAAAAGAACAAATAAAGAACTTCTTAGACAGAAAAACCTAAGGGAGTTTATCACTCTCAAACTAGCATTATAAGAAATGTTAAAGCATCCTCCTTAAGAAGAAAATGAAAAATATGAATAATAAGAAAACAGTAAGTATATATCTATCAACAATTAATTTTTTATTGAGTTTATTGGGGTGACATTGGTTAATAAAATTATATAGGTTTGAGGTATATAATTCAACAATACATTATCTATATGTTGTGTTGGATACTTACCACCTCAAGTCAAGTAAACGATAATTACATTATATAAATATCTAATCACTGGGTTATACATCTGAAACTAATATAATGTTGTACATCAATTATAAGTGAAACGTAAAATGGATTAAGTACTCCAATCAAAACAAATATGGTGGCTGAATGGGAAAGAAAACCAGACCCTTCAGATTGAAAGACACACAGATTCGAAGTAAAGATATTTCATGAAAATGGAAATATAAGCAAAAACAGGGGGAACAATATTTATGCCAGATAAAATAGACTTTAAAACAAAGGTTATAACAAGAGACAAAGAAGGACCTAACAATTCCACTTCTGGCTATTTATATGAAGAAATCCAAAACCCAAAGTTTTTAAAGATGTATGCATACATTTACATGTTAATTGCAGCATTATGTATAACTAATGGCCTAGTGCACCAATTCATGCACATTGAAGGGGAATTAATTAGAAGAAATATTTTAATATCACTATTTGCCAAGTCTGGGGCAGGTATCCAGCTCCCTCCTTCCTCCTGTCAGAGTCTGTGATGGCACCCACGGATACACAGAATTAAAGCCGGTGCCCCGAGGGCTGCAGGACCCCCCTCCCCCAAGTCCCAGAGTCCTGCAGCCCTGTGGGGCCAGTGTTCCAGGGGACGCGGGGCCAGTGTTCCAGGGGACGCGGGGCCAGAGAGGGGGATGAGAGTGGTGGCCTGGCTCTAAGAAAACTGCCCTGGGCCTCCTTGGATTACCTCTGAGTTCCTCTGGGAAAAGGGCCAGAAGTGTCAGGGCTGATTGCTGAGTCAGCAGTGGCAGTGGTGGAAGAAGCTGTCATGGCTGGCTTTTTGCTTATCACAGCGGCAGCACTGCGGCAAGCAGGGAACATGCCTTGGTGGGAATGTCTCTAACAAATGAGCTGGGTAGGGACTGTTTTAGAATGTAGCTGCCTGGCTACCAGGGTTCCACAATCTGTTGGGCTCCGTCGTCAGGAAGTGAGGTCAGTGCTCTTGTCAGGAAATGAAATCATTGCTCTTGGGTGGAGAGAAGCTCAGGGTAGGGGACCAGGCAGTGACCAGGGAGGTTTTCTGTCATGTCTGTACCCCAGGTCAAGGCTGGGTGGTGGATGTGAAGTGTGGGCAGCTCCTGCTACTCCAGGTTTATCCCGACACTGGAGCTGAATCTCATTTCTCCCAGGTGGAGGTGGAGTGGGGGTGGTGCCCTTTGCCCTGATGTTTAGCTCCCATGGGGCTACAGGACTCCCCCTCGTCCCAGAGTCCCAGAGTCCCCCCATGGCTGATGGCCCACAGGACTCCCCTGATGCACCTCCTGGTCAACTTCCCTCCAGCACCTTTGCACTCACAGCATCAAGCCCAGCCCTGCATACCTGCTGTGTGCTCAGCCATCTTGTGACAGCGTGAGGGCATAAGAACCACCTAGTCTTTTATTAGTAAGACTAGAGGCCCGGTGCACAAAATCTGTGCACTCTGGGGGAAGGAGGGTTCCCTCAGCCTGGCCTGCACCCTCTTGCAGTCCGGGAGCCCTCTGGGGATGTCTGACTGTCATGGAGGTGGGAGAGGCTCCCACCACCGCCCCTGCGCTCGCCAGCCATGAGCCCTGCTCAAGGCTTTTGGCTGAGTGGTGCTCCCTCTGTGGAAGTGCACTGACCACTAGGGGACAGCTCTTGCATTGAGCATCTGTCCCCTGGTGGTCAGTGTGCATCACAGTGACTGGTAGTTCCTGTCTTCAGTGTATTTGCATATTAGCCTTTTATTATATAGGATAGTCAAGATATGGAAGCAACCTAGGTGCCCATCAATAGATGAATGGATAAAGAAATGGAATATATAAACAATGGAATGTCATTCAGACATTAGAAAATGACATCTTGCCATCTGCAACAACATAGATGGACCTAGAAGGTATTGTGCTGAGTGAAGTGGGTCAAAGAAAGACAAATGCCAGATGATTTCACTTATATGTGGAATCTAAAAAAACAAAACTAACAGGTAAGACGGAAACAGACTTACATATACCAAGTACCTTTTTTTTTTTAAGACGTTTCTTTTTTTTTTTTTTCAAATATATTTTATTGATTTTTGTACAGAGAGGAAGGGAGAGAGATAGAGAGTTAGAAACATCGATGAGAGAGAGTCATCGATCAGCTGCCTCTTGCACACCCCCTACTGGGGATGTGCCCGCAACCAAGGTACATGCCCTTGACCGGAATCGAACCCGGGACCTTTCAGTCCCCAAGCCGATGCTCTATCCATTGAGCCAAACCAGCCTCGGCCCAAGTACCTTTTGATAGTTGCCTGATGGAAAGGGGCACGGTGGGATGAGTGAAAAAAGGTGGAAGGATTAAGAAGTACAAATTGGGAGTTATGGAATATCATCGGGATTAAAGTACAGCATAGGGAATATAGTCAGTAATATCGTAATAACTGTGTATGGTGTCAGATGGATGTTCGATTTATTGGAGTGATCACTTTGTAAGTTATATAATATCTAATCCCTGGGTTGTACACCTGAAATTAATATAATATTTTACATCAACTATAAGTGAAAAATAAAAAATGATTTAAAAAAAAGAAAGAAATGTTCATGGGAGCATAGACTTTAAAATAATGAGGCCCTAGCTGGTTTGATTCAGTGGATAGAGCATCAGCCTATGGACTAAAAGATCCTGGGTTTGATTCCAATCAAGGGCATGTACCTCAGTTGCAGGATGATCCCTGGCCCTGGTCGATGAACATGTGGGAGGCAACCAATTGATGTGTGTCTCTCTCTCATTGATGTTTCTCTCCTCCTACTCTCTCTGAAAAAATCCATGGAAACATATCCTCAGGTGAGGATTAATAACAACAACAAAAGTAATGAGACTGTAGGCCAGAAAATAAGTTTAATGCCAAGTAGAAGGACCAATTTACTTTGTCATTTTCCTTGCTCTTGCTGTACAAACTTCTTCCTATGACTTTGAGAAAGTGGAAGATGCTGGCTGTGTTCCAGAGTGGCTGTCTCTATGGGAAAGAGTCCCCGTATAGATAGCTTGCTCCCAGATATGGGGGACTGTTAGTGTCCTTTAGATCTGGAAGTATATGTGAAATAATAAAATAATTTATATGTCGTTTAAAAATAAAAAATAAAAAGGTACTATATAATTGTTTATTTTAAAATTTTCAAACTTTAAAATTCATAAATTTAAATTACATAAGAACAACATATTTGGTTTAAATAAAGTCAAACACAGGTAAATCAGGAAGATGGCTGCGCCCAGGTAAACACCTAGCCGCAGCTGCACACAACAATTTCAATAAAATACAACTAAAATATAAAATGGACATTACCCAGAACTCAGGAAAGTCGACTGACTGGAAATTCTACAACAAGAAGCAAGGAGAAAACCAGAAGGAGGAGCGGAGGAGTTGGAAAAGCCCAAGGTACGGAGACACGCGGCGCGCGCGGAGAGAACGGAGCCAGAGAGGAGGGAGACCAAGTGCCTGGCGGGTGTTCCCTAGCAGGAAGGAGATAAAACTCCGACTGTGTTGGGCCCCAGTTCTGACTGCTCTGAACCACAGTTCTAGGCCAGACCCCGGGGACCCAGGCTCATCCAGAGGGGGCTGTGCTGTAAGGCGGAACCCCGGGAAAGTGGCTAAAGGAGGTCCCGGAGGCGCGCACACTGCGCGCAGAGAAGGGACGGTTGGCTGTGCCGCGGGATTGCCCTGGCGGGAAGGAGACAGGGGCTCCGAACTGCTCTGAACGCCACCTCCAACTCCACTTCCAACTGAACTGAACCCCAATACCGGGCTCATTGGGGGAGAGACTAGACTGTTTGGCAGCAGGCAAAAATCGAGGGCACCTATCTCTCAGAGGCACTTTGCAGCGAGTATTGAAGGACCCTGAGACTCAGGAGCCGTATAGGACGGGGCTGACGGAAGTCAAAGCTGTAGGCTCCACCCTGAAATCCCGTCCCATCTGTAGCTACGAAATGCGACAATGAAATAGATCACAAACGAAAGAAATGGAGGACAAAAAGTGACTGGATATAGAGTTCAAATCTACGCTTATAAGGTTTTTCAAGAATTTCCTAGAAAAGATGGATAAGACCTATGAGGATATGAAAAGAGATCAACTAGAATTAATAAGGAGTCAACAAGAAATGATAAGGGATCAACAAGAAATGATAAGGGATCAACAAGAAATAAAGAATACATTGTCTGAAATAAAAAATATTATACAGAGTCCTAAAAACAGAAGGGAAGATCGCAAGAATCAAGTCAAAGATTTGGAACATAAAGAGCCAGAAGACACTCCTCCACAGAAGCTAGAAGGCAAGATAATCCAGAAAATTGAAGATAATGTAAGAAACCTCTGGGACAACTTCAAGCGAACCAACATCAGAATTATGGGGGTCCCAGAAGATGAGAGAGAGCAAGATATCGAAAACATACTGAAAGAAATAGTGACAGAAAACTTTCCCCACCTGGTGAAAGAATTAGACTTACAAGTCCAGGAAGCACACAGAACTCCAAACAAAAGGAATCCAAAGAGGACCACACCAAGACACATCATAATTAAAATTCCAAGAGCAAAAGACAGAGAGAGAATATTAAAAGCAGCAAGAGCAAAGGTAGTTACCTATAAAGGAGCACTTATACGATTGTCAGCTGATTTCTCAACAGAAATCATGCAGGCCAGATGGGAATGGCAAGAAATATTCAAGGTGATTAATAGTAAGAACCTACAGCCAAAGATAATCTATCCAGCAAAGCTATCACTCAGAATCGAAGGTCAGATAAAGAGTTTCACTAATAAAAAAAAAAAGCTAAAGGAGTTCATCAACACCAAACCAGAATTATATGAATTGCTGAAGGGGGTTCTTTCAGAAGAGAAAGTAAATAAAGATAAAAATTATGAACAACAAATACGTAACTATCAACAAGTGAATCTAAAAACCAAGGAAATTAAAAAAAAAATCTGATGAACAATATTAACTGGTGAATATAATAGAATCAGAAGTATGGAAGGGGAGTGAACTGATGATTCTTGGGAAAAAGGGGAGAGGGGGATGTGGGAAGAGACTGAACAAAAACTGTGCACCTATGGATGAGGACAATGGGGGGTGGGGAAAGGGCAGAGGGTGGGGTGGGAACCTGGTGGAGGAGAGCAATTGTGGGGGGGGGGGGGGGAGAGGAACATTTGTAATAATATGAACAATAAAAACTTATTTAAAAAATAAATAAATAAAGTCAAACACAGAAGTAAAGAATAAAAATCTTTTTTTTAGGCCCAATCTCTTTTCCTTAACATAAAATAAATGTTATATATTCAGTGTATGTTGAGATAGATAGCTTTGAAATATATAGGTCAATAACAGAGTATATAATTTGAAATGTTTGCTGGCAAACAAAAATGAATGTGTTCTGGGATATATAGTTAAATATATGTAAAGACCAGATGTACTACCTAAATTCACTAACATGAATTGACTTAAATATAATCCTTAGAAGAGTACTTTTAGAGATCACTTGTGACATTTTTACTTTGTTTTTATTTTCTCACAATCTCAAAAAGATATAGTAGTAAGAATTTAGAATTTGGAATCTGAATATATGGGGTCAAATTGGTTAAATCTAATATTCTTTTTTGGGTTTTTGTTTGTTTTTTAGTCAATTACAGAGAGAAAGGAAGAGGAGGAGGGAGAGACAGAAACATCAATGATGAGAGAGAATCACTGATCGTTTGCCTCCTACACACCCCCTGCTGGGGATGGAGCCAGTAACACAGGCACAAGCCCTGACCAGAAATCGAACTGTGACCTACTGTTTCATAGATTGACACTCAACCACTGAGCCACACCGGTTGGACTCTAATATCATTCTTGTTCAGCCTAAAGTACTTCATTTACTAGGAGATTGTTCACTGGGGATGATCCTGTCAGCTTTTGTCTAGAAATGCTTAATTTTGCTTTCACTTCTGAAGGTTATTTTCATTGGATATAGACTTCTTTCATCCGGGGCGTTTTAAGTATGTCATTCCATTGCTTTTAGCTTTATCTTTGATTTTACTTTTTTTAAGTTAGTAGCCTTCTTATATCCAAGTATCCCATTTTTTGTGGTTAAATATACATACCATAAAACATACCATTTTAGACATTTTTAAGTTCTGTGATATTAAATAGATTCACATGATTGTGCCACCATCACCATCCATCTCCAGAACTTTTTCATCTTTCCAAATTTAAAATCTATACCTATTAAAATAAGCTTCCCAATTCCTCCCTCCTCCTTGTCTCTGGCCACCATCTACTTTGCGTCTCTATGAATTTGATTACTCTCTATTCTTCATATAAGTGCAATCAAATATTATTTTCTGTTTTGCTGATTTTCCTTTAAAAATTTTTTATATAATTTTTACAACTTGATGAGTTGGAGATAAGTATACATCTGTGACTCATCACCACACTCTACTAGTATGTTATAAAAATCTCCCATGGCTTGCAAATCTCCCCTTCCCCAATCCTTGGAAGCCACCATTTCACTCTGCCTCTAAGATTGGTTGTTTTATATTCATTATAGGTATAATGGTATAATGTAGTATTTGTCCTTCTGTGTCTGGCTTATTTTACTTAGCATAGTGTTCTCTAGATTCATCTTTGTTGTCACAAATAACAGGAGTTTATTCTTTTTTTTTTTTTTAACACAGAATAATATTTCATTGTATATACATACCACATTTTCTTTATTTGTAGATTGATAGACATGTATTGGCTACTGTGAATAATGCTGCAATGATCATGAGAATGTAAATCTCTTTGTGATCCTGATTTCAATTTATTTGGCTATATACCTAAAAGAGATTGCTGAATCATATGGTGGTTCTATTGTTAGCTTTTTGCAGATCCAACATACTGTTTTCCATAGTATTTGTATTAATTTACATTCTACCTACAGCATATCAAGATCCCTTTTCTCTACATTTTTACATATACTTGTTATCTGTGGTTTGTTTATAAAACTATTCTATAAAGTGAGGAAATATCTTGTTGCAGTTTTGCTTTGTATTTTTCTGATGATTATTGATGTTGAGCACCTCTTCATGTATATGTCGGCCAATTGTGCATCTTCTTTTGAGAAATGTCTATTAGTTCCTTTGCTCATATATTAATGAGTTATTTGCTCTGTTGTTGTTGTTGTAAAAGCTCCCTATATATTTTTAATATTAACCCTTTATTATAAAGTATATGGTTTGCAAATACTTTCTTCCATTTTGGGTATTGCCTTTTCATTTTGTTGATTGTTTCCTCTGCTGTGCTGAAGCGTTTTAGTTTCACGTAGTCCTGCTTGTCTAGTTTTGCTTTCTTTCCAGGTGTTGCCTGTGCTTTTGCCATATTCTTTATAAGGCTGAATATTCTATCTATATACCACGTTTTCTTTATCCATTCGTCTGTCAGTAAACATTTGGGTTGCTTCCACATTTTAGATGTTGTGAATTATGCTGCTATTGACATGAGTGTGAAAAAAAATTCTTTATTACACTGCTTTCAGTTCTTTTGGATATATAACCAGATTGATATTTCTGGATCATATGGTATTCCTATTTTTAATTTTTTTGAGGAATTTCTTCATGTAAACTTTTTACAAATTTCATTGCTGTTGCTCCTCCTAAGATGTATCTGAAAATCTTTATTTGGCTAATATGATGGACTTTCATGATTAATATGTGTGTCTGTGTGTGTGTTTATTTATTTATTTATTTGTTTGTTTGTTTATTTAATCTAGAGCCCTTGCAGAATCTCCACCATCTGTAAACAACCTAAAGAGTGAAGTTGGTGATAAAGGAAAGAATAAAGATGAAGAGGAAGTTTATAACCATGGAAAAAAGGCTGAAGATACTTGTCCTGAGTTTCATTCGGAAGAGAAAAAGAAGAAACGTTCTGGATTCAGAGACAGAAAAGTATGAAACACAGTTTTATAAATGAATCAGAACTATAGTTAATCCAAGATTCGAATAATGCAGTTTAGATTCTTTTATGATATATTTCAGATGGTTCATATTTACTTTGAAGTTATTCACCTCTTCACTATTTTCTATAATGTTTTAAGGCAAACATACTCTTGGAATGTAAAGATAATAGAGTTAGGAAAAGGATCTAAGTTTACTGTAAATCATGATTAGAATATATTTTCTTCATTCTTTCAATTTAGCTACCTAACATTGATCTTGCATTCTGGATCTTTCTGATGTTGTACGTTCTCGTGTATGTTAATTGAGTCCTTGTGGTAATACAATTTATGATGTCAAGTTGTAAAGGTAGAATAAAATATCTTGAAAAGTAAACAGATATTTCCAGAAAATCAAATAAATTTGAAGACAGCATAAACTTCAAATGACTCCAACATTCTATATGTTTAACACAACCTGCTGTTCTATGCCTTTTCTTAGAAAAGTTTCAGTTTCACTATAACAATGCCTATGATATTGGACATTTGAATTCAGCAGACATGAGTGATGAAAAGTCAAAAGGGTGAATTTATTAGCTATTTTGCATGTTAACATTAAAATACAGGAAATTGCCCTCTCTTGCTAAAACATAACTAATCAATGCAAGAAGATAATTTGACTTATTTATGTAGAGTGTGTGTGTGGGGGGGGGGAGGAGTATACATATTTGCGAGAAGAATTTCTTTTAGAAATTTGGATTTTCTGTTTATCTGTTTGGATGAAGTTATTAAATAAGTCTTCTCATTTCCTAAATTCATTTCTTAAGTGAATTTGAACAAAAGCTAAGTATCAAATTATTCCTTTTTAAAGACTTGGTAATTAAGAATCTTTAGGTACCATATTTATGGCATTATACCCTGTTACTGAGATGTTTTGAATTCTTGTATGACATTTTTCAATTTTGCTAGTTTTCAATGATTTAAAAAAATAAGAAAATTCTTCAAAAATTTCTAAACAGACGTTACACAGATGAAGTATGAAAGGTATATTGGAGGAAAGTAGTTCAAAAGTTTTTGAAATTAAAGTTTATTTCTAACATTTAAAAAATCTAGTAATAGAAAAAAGGTGATAAAATTTAAAGTTCCCTAAAAATAAGATACAAAATGTATGAAAATGAAACTGCTTAATAATAACACCTTGGATTTCTAATTTTAGGTAATGGAATATGAGAATAGGATTAGAGCATATTCTACACCAGACAAAATCTTCCGATATTTTGCCACCTTGAAAGTAATCAGTGAGCATGGTGAATCTGAAGTGTTTATGACTCCACAAGATTTTGTGCGCTCCATCACACCCAATGAAAAGCAACCGGAACGTAAGTTGTTAATGTGAAAAATGAGATTTTGATATTTCTTTTTGTTTCTTTCTGTGTATTACCTAAACTTTATAGGTCCATGCAATAGTTATACATACGTAGCTACTATATGTCAGGCATCCTGCTAGGCTTTGGGAGTACAGAAGAGGAGCCTGCAGTCTGATGTGGCAATCCTCAGCCAGGTTAAAGTGTGCTCCTCTGGCTGAGGTTCATTGCCTATAATGAGAATGTTCCTGAAGGCAATGCATTACAATGTGACTGCAATCACGTTGCTCCTTAGTGAGGGAGATAGAGACAGTAATGAGAAATTTCAAGAATGTAGTGACTTGTTAAAGAAGGATGACGCTGTGGCAATATAAACAAGGAACACTTAGTTAAATCTGAAAAGTGGGAGAATGATTTCTCTGAAAAGTGGGAGAATACATCTGAGTTTGGATAAAAGCCTGTCTAAGCATTGTACTTACTTCACAGAGACATTAAATCAACTATCTTAAATATGCTCAACGAGTAGGGGAAAGGATGTCTCATATAGAGGAAACAGCTTGAACAAAAAATGTGTGAGGAAAGAAAATACATGGCTTAACATATTAAGTTAAATGTAACAATTTACAAATATATTTGGGGAAAATTACAGAGTTGAGAGCTCTAAGAATTCCACTGATGCAACCATTAAGCTGCCAAAAAAGGACAACAGTAACTATAGTGGACCTCTGGAATCTAATAAAAAAAACTTACAGCAATCAGGGAGTGCTTAATGAAGAAAGAGGCTGCTAAATTTTGGTAAAAAGTGTTTGGCCTTTTGCTCCCTGAGGGACCAGTGCAAAGGCTTGACCTTTCTGTCACTCACCTCAAGCTGGAGTGGTTTCCCACTTGTCCTCCACTGGAAAAAAATAACACATACACTACCACTACCTGCAGGTCCCAGGCTAAGAGAGGGCAGATGGGACAAGCAGCAGACAGGCTGTAAAGCCTAGAAAAGAGGACACTGAGGAGGAGGACATGTCAGGGAGAAGAGCTTGGAAGGGCTGCTGCACAGGGGAATCCAGAGAGCAATCTGTGTTCTCAGAGCCAGGCACGTGCTTGGGAAGACTTGAGTGGGCTTATTCCTCTTGTTGATTTTTGGGTTCTCTGTAAGGAGGTGAAAGTTAAGGTAGAGTTGTTAAATTTCTAGCTAAATATAAAAGGAGAGCCCCAGCTCAGAGCCAGTCTGCATATAGCAGAAGAGTTAGGGTTTTTTTTGTTTTGTTTTTTAGTTATTTTGCCTCCAACATTTAAGGAATTCTCTTTAATCAGGTCACTTGCTTAGATAGAAAAGAAATTTCAGTGGTGACACATGATAAGGGCTACAGTCTTTGCAAAAATAATTTGCAAATTGATGGCGTGAGTTACAACACCAAACCCTGGGATGCAGAAAGAATTTTATTTCTTGAATTGCCACATTATAATATTAAGAATACCCAATTTTAAATTTTAAAAAATTACATGACAGTCTAGTGATCGGGAATATATGACCTGTTACCAGGAAAAAAAAAATTTTTTTTTAAGGAAACATCCCATGAGAAAGCCAACTAGGCATTGTCCTTACTTTACAAAGACTAAATCAATTATCTTAAATATGCTCAAGGAGAAAGCCATAGACAAAGAACTGTAGGAAACAAGAAGATCGTGTGTTGATAAAAAGAGACTATCCATAAAGATATAGAAAATTTGCTGAAACCGGTTTGGCTCAGTGGTAGAGCGTCGGTCTGGGGACTAAAAGGTCCAGGTTCGATTCCGGTCAAGGGCATGTACATTGGTTGCGGGCACATCCCCAGTAGGGGGAGTGCAAGAGGCAGCTGGTCGATGTTTCTCTCTCATAGACGTTTCTAGCTCTCTATCTCTCTCCCTTCCTCTCTGTAAAAAATCAATAAAATATATATTTTAAAAAAAGAAATAGAAAATTTTTAAAGGAACAAAATAGAAATTCTTCAGTTAAAAAGTACAATAGCTGCAATTTAAAAAATCTCTAGAAGAGTTCAACATCAAATATGAGCAGGCAGATAAAAAAAATCAGTTAACTTGAAGATACATCAATTGGTATTATTGTGTCTGAGGAACAGAAAACAAAAAGTGTGAATAAAAATGAACTGAGCCTTGTGTAACACCATCAAGTGTAATAACATATGCACACAAATGTGACAACGTATGCATAATGTTGTTAAGACAGTTCCAGATGATCAAAAGCTGAGGAAGTTTGTTAATAATAGACCTTCCCTTCAGGAAGTACCAAGTGGAGTCCTTTAGTCTGAAATGAAAAGATACTGGACAGCAACTCAAAGCCATACAGAGAAATTAAAGGTGTGGTTCCGGTTAAGATAGCAGATTAGGTAAACACTGTTCTCACCTCATCCCACGACCACATCAGAATTATAATATAACTAAAATATAGAACAAGCATCACTGAGAACCACCTGAAGACTAGCTGAACAGAATTCCTATAACTAAGGATATACAGAAGAAGCCATTTCGAAACGGGTAGGGGGATGGAGAAGCAGACCAGGCTGGTATCACACCCATTTGTGGCCGTTAAAAATTGGGAGAGATACTTTGGCTGCAGAATTCCCCCATGAGCAGTGAGGGGTCCCAGCCCCACACCATGAAAAAATAAAATGAAGCATGCTCCTATGATTGATATCTTTTTAATATCTGAGTGGTTTCAGATTAGATTTGTTTTTAAATGTTTACTGACTTATCCTTTCTTTTGCAGTCAATGGTTCATTTTGCTATGATGGGTGTCTAGAAAGTGAAGCACATCTATAATAATAAAAACGTATTATGCTAATTAGACCAGATGTCCTTTCAGACAAAGCCCCGGGGGCTGAGGCAGAGGTGGCAGCCTTGGCGGGTGGGTAGGGGCAGAGGTAGCTGCCGTGGCAGTGGGGCTGAGCCTCTTGCGTGAATTTCGTGCATCGGGCCTCCAGTTTTAGATAAAGAGAATGTATAAACAACTGTGTGGAAACAGAAGTACAAAAAATTTCCTCTGGGAGGGATGATAATCAGATCATTGTTGTACTCTGGACATAGGGAGATAAGGCCTTAGCTAGAAAGAGTACTGTAAGAACTGAAAGAAAAGAACTAAGTAATTATGCAAAAAAAAAAAAAAGTAAACATAATTGGGAACCAACTTCTCCCCTCTAAAAACTTCCACAGCACCCTCTTACTGGGTTAATTGTATGCTCCCTTGTAATGTTAATTATTATATGCATATATGTCTTTCTAAATTTTTTATTCATTTGTTAATAGACATTTATTGATCAAGCACTATTCTTGAGATAAAGAAGTAGGCAAAGACAAAAAAACACCTGCCCTCAAGGGCACTTAATATATTTATTTATATCTTTCACACTGCTTAAAGCTACGTATTTCCAGGGTAAATATTTATTATTTAACCCAATTTTATTTTTTTTATTTTTTTTCAGGTTTAATGGTTTTTAATAAGTTTACCCCTTCAGTTCCGATTTGCAGCACCCAATATCCCCTTTGAAACATCAGACAGACCCGACAATGGCCAACAGTAAATTTCAGACCTGCGGAGTTTAAAGGTTCAGGTTCTCGGAGCATTCTTTGTTGCAGTGGCACTTGTCCAAAACTGGTACCTCCCTGTGGCTGGGGAATGTTAAATGTACCAGTGAAAAGAGCTTTTCCCCTTCAAGGGGAAGAAAAAAATCACCCCTTAAAACCCAGCAGATCTGGCTGTGAGGTCTTTCCTCCTGTCCCATCTCTTCAGGCTTTTTTTTTGCAAGTGGAGCAAGAGAGACCAAAATCTAACCTGAGTTACAAGAAACAAGACAGTGATGGCTATAAAGGGAGGGACCGGGAGTAACAGATACTCCTTCACCTCCCACATCCAATGTATGTGCTTCACAGAAAAACAACAAAAACAGCAGGTCCACAAAATACAACAGCTAGAATTACAAAATCCATTCATCCAAGGGTGATGGAAGGCGGGAAGGGGGAGGTGGAAGGGTAAATGGCACGGGGAGAAAAAGTATTCGAATCAGTCCAGGCGAGGAGGGGCTGGCAAATGCTAGAAAAGAGCTGCAGAAAAACCCGTGGGCCTTTCAGACTCACAGGTGGAAAGAGTCCATAACTGGTGTCGGGAGATTATGCCTTACGTGCACCAGAGACAAAAATCCCGATTCCTCAGGAGGCCATGCGCAGAGGGCCCTTGGCAGAGTGGGTCCTGCCTTCCCTGGTGAAGGCAGCGAACAAGGAGAGAACTGCACAGCCTCCTTCCACTCCCTCTCCTTCCCCCGGGTGGCAGGGGCCTCAGTGGCCTGCAGCAGCCTTCAGTTTGGCAGGAGACGAATGCGGGGAAGGGTATTTAACCCAATTTTAAAAGGTAATATTAAGATGGTCTATTTGTATCTGTTTATATGTGTTACAAAAATTCCTTTAATATTAAACTTACCTTTCTTTAACTTGATCCAAAAAAAAAGTATTATGTATTCAGATTAACCTAATGTCCCTCAGTTTAGAGGTAATTAGTACTTTGATGTAATGAAAAGAGCACCACCCTGGGAAGAGTCCTGGATTCTGGTTTGGCTCTGCTGTTGAATAGGTTTGCACATGGAACCTTTATCCTCTTTATCCTCTCAGAGCCTCACTTCTCCTACGTAAGTAAAATGTTGGTATCTTACACTTTGAGTTACACTTTGAGCCTGAAAGTGGGACAAAATTTTTGTTATTGTTACCTTGGAATAATATTGTAGCTAAACTATCTAGTACATTTAATTGAATTATTGGAAACAAAACTGAGAGCTGTCATTTCCTGTTTCATTTGAGTTGATTGAATTGTTTTTTTCTCTTTTACAGACTTGGGCCTGGATCAATATATAATAAAACGCTTTGATGGAAAGGTGAGCAGACTATGGCATGTGTGTATCTTGTTTACTAAGAATATTTTAAAGTTCCTCCAGTATTATTTGTGAGGGGTTTCTGAATACATGTTTATCTTATCATAAAAGAGTGTTGCTTAGGTTTGGAGGCCTGTAAGTGCCTTCAGATGCTTCTATGGGAAGATCCAAGCAGAAGCTTCTTCTGTCTTTATCCACACAAGGTAACACTCGTGGACTGCCTGCTGTTTATATTAAGGGCTAATTCAGTGTATGTTGACATTTGAGCTTTAATTCAAAAGCCACAAAAGTTAACAAGCCCCAAATATTGCATTATTTTAGAAACACCTATCTGATTCGACCTTCTTCAAACTATGATAGTATATAAGAAAATTAGGGAAGTCCTTCCTAGTGCTTTTATAATAGTTATGAAGACCCCAAATTTACATATGTTTGCATTATACTTACTTTCAATTCTTTATGCCTGGAATAAATCATTTATAATAAATCATTCTTTAGTATAGCAAATGAAACTTCATTTTATTATCTCAAAGCAGTTAGTTAAACATGTTTTTCCCTTTCAGGCTAAATTCTACAAAAAGAGAAAGAACATATTACGCAGGGTCAGAAAGAAACGTAAAAGGTCAATTTTAAAGAGGAGGAAGAAAGAAGAAAGAGCCAGGAGTGGTTCTGCAAAGCCTAAAGAGAAGGAAATCAGGAGGAAAATTATGCAGTGTCTGCAAAAGGCAGGATGACAAAAGAGGGTCTAGATGGTAGAGGTCAGGGTTAATAGCAACTGATCTTATAGGAAGGTGTCTATCCTGCTTCATTATTTAAACTCTACATTCTAGTAAGGGGAAGATATAAGTGCTAAGGTCTTTTGTGCAAGTGGAAATAATGAGTGGCTGACTAAATAATTGAGAGATTTCAGCCAAGGCTTCCATCCTAAAAATTATCTTTCTTATTCAGGTGGCACAGTGCTTCCATCTGTATCTTCTTTTTAAAGTCACATAATCTAAGAGAAACAGTGATTTTAAAAAAGAAAAGGCATTAAACTTTTTGTTAGGAGACCTAGGTTTAGAGTCTAGCTCTGCTTTGTGACAGCCACATCTTCCCTCTGATCCTTGGTGTCTGCTTTATTTATGTTAGTGGTTATTTGCAGATTGTCTGGCAAGTTGGGCCCCTGGCTTTTCTGTTTTTGTGTCACTGAGAGTCCAACATATGCATGGCATACAGGAGGTGACCAGTAATTGTTTGATGACTTGGGAAAAATCAGCTGGTCAATGCATATTTCTTGGAGGTATGACTCACAAAGTCATTGGTATCTTAAAGCAAAATCAATTTAACAAATCACTGTTTTGGTCACTGAAAGAATCCAGTGAGAATTCAGTTCTCTATTGTATATACATGAACCTGAAAACATGCAAAGAGTTGAATATGTGCAATTTGAACAGTAAATTTATGAATTATCTTTTATTTCAGATGAAGCTAAGAAAGTAGCTTTAGTACTGTTTTCAAGCCTTAATTATAATGAAGAGGGCAAAACTTATTGTTTAATTACTTTAGAGGTTTTTGAGGGATTTTTGCCATGCATAATAGTCTCTGCTTAATAACCATAAGGATCAACACTTATTTAACTATCAGTCTTCTTATTTATTTTCCTTTGCATATTCATGACTCTCTTGTTGTCTCAATAAGGAAATCTTAATTCTTAAGTAGCAGTTTCTAGAATATATAAATCCTAAAACAATTATTGAATACTTGGGGGGGGGGGGAAACAAAACAGATTCGTGTGGTAATTATAGTAAATTTCATACATGATAGCCAGAAATTTAGTAGAAATCTAACATCCTACATCCGTAGTCAGCAAACTGGGGCTCGCGAGCCACATGTCACTCTTTGGCCCCTTGAGTGTGGCTCTTCCGCAAAATACCATAGCCTGAGCGAGTCTATTTTGAAGAAGTGGCATTAGAAGAAGTTTAAGTTAAAAAAAATTTGGCTCTCAAAAGAAATTTCAATCGTTGTACTGTTGATATTTGGCTCTGTTGACTAATGAGTTTGCCAACCACTGTCTAGAGGAATTTTTTTTTAAATTTGCTTTGATTTTTAAATGGCTCATTTTCTCCCTTTTTTGAAAAAAAATATATTTTATTGATTTTTTTACAGAGGGGAAGAAAGAGGGATAGAGAGTTAGAAACATCGATGTGAGAGAATCATCGATTAGCTGCCTCTTGTATACTTCCTACTGGGGATGTGCCCGCAACCAAGGTACATGCCCTTGACCAGAATCGAACCTGGGACCTTTCAGTCCACAGGCCGACGCTCTATCCACTGAGTTAAACCAGTTTCAGCTTTTCCCTTTTTTTTATTTTTTAACTTGGAAGATAACTCGTTATGAACTGCTTAGAGAAAGAATATTAACCCTCATTCTCTTATTCCCCTTTGTTTTAACTTTTGACCAGTAAGAAGCAATAGCTTCTAATTGAATTGCACTTTAGCCTTTTTTGTCATTGAAATTAGGCAAATGTAGAAATAGTATTATTTTCCTGGGTTCTCTTCTCATTTATAATTGAATTTCGTACAGTCTCCAAAAGCAAAGAAGAAAAGAATGGTACAACTGATATTGACAAATAATTGGATAGTTATTTCTTTTTATTTTTTTATTGATTTTTTTTTTACAGAGAGGAAGGGAGAGGGACAAAGAGTTAGAAACATCGATGAGAGAGAAACATCAATCAGCTGCCTCCTGCACACCCCCTACTGAGGATGTGCTTGCAACCAAGGTACATGCCCTTGATCGGAATCGAACCTGGGACCCTTCAGTCCACAGGCTGATGCTCTATGCACTGAGCCAAACCGGTTAGAGCTGGATAGTTATTTCTTTAATACCTATCTTCTTTTCTCCTAATCTGTTTGACTAGAAATAAATAGAATTCCCGTAAGATGTAAATAAAACATTCTGGTTTTAACTGATAGCCATTGAAAGTGAATTTGATGTAATGACTTTTGGATTTTGGGGAGAATTATTTTCCAGAGCCCATCGCTACCTTATGTTAATGTACCCTTACTCTAAGGATACTGGCAATTTCCTTTGTACAAAAGTCATGAAATAAAAATACAAAATTATTATTGGCATTTGCATCATTTATGCATTTCAAAACTATCTACTAACACAGACTATGTATAAAGAAGCTATAGTCAATGGCCTTTAGTTTTAAGAATATATTTTGTAGATAAGTGATATTTTTTAAATATTCAGACTAGATTTAAAAGTTTAAAAATCTCAAACCTAGAAAGAGTTCATATTTTATTAAAGGATATTTTAAAATCATTATAAATAGCATATCAACACCATTATGCAGATGGTATACCATAAAGTATGGTCTGGCCTTTTGTTTTGTTTAGATTAAAAAAACAAAAACCCTTCTCCCCCAGCAATGCACAATGTTCATACATTGTACTTTTGTTAATGCAGTTATTTCATGAATTTTGAATTATTTCTTTAATGAAAACTATTTTTTCTGGGTTAATTTTTATCATCTAATAATTGGCCTGTGGGAAAAAAAAGTATATTTCTTAATGGAGCCTTTATATTATATAATTGTCAAATATTTCTCTCATTTAATCATTTAGTATTTGTCTTTTATTCGTGTGGTTTCTACTTTCCCTTTTCCAGCTTCTTTTACCTCCTCTTTTTTTTCTCAGCATACCAAATATGGAAATTATGAAATATTTCTATTGCATATAAAAGACAACTCTCTATATCAGATATCACCATAGTTTTTTTTGTGTGTGTGTTTTGTTTTTTTTGTTTTTTTTTAAGTTACACTAGGAAACTTCAACATCTACGAAAAATTGTTTCTTTAGCTAAGAATACCAGTCAGTATTCCAGGGTTTTTATGTAATCCTCTTCTCTCATCTAAGAACATTAATTTCACCCTTTTTTTTTCAGGTAACAAGTAATTGCTCATCGAAACTAATTGCCCATTATCGTTCCACCTTGTATTTCTTTTTTAGAAAGTATATTTTTTATTTTTTCCTCCTTATCAAGCTCCCTTTTTAGCCCAACTCTCCTGAATATTCCAGAAATGATGCCACCAGATTGAGATTATTTAATATTTGTAATTACAGCCTCCTTAGAATTTCTTTAATTTGGAAGAATTAACTAGTATTTTATTTCTATCTTTTTTGTGATTTATACTAGATTATTTGTTCACATGGAACAGGAAAATTATATCAAATTAAAATTAAAATTGTCCACATTTAGATAAAAGAAATAAAAGTATGGTTAAAGGCTATAAAGGGAAATACTGATTATAGTGTTTATAACAGAAACGATAATAAGCAGGGGGGAAATAAGAGCCACAGTTAAAAATCAAAGTTTTAATATAACTGAATGCTTTTAATTGTTTACTAGGTAAAAGTTATTTTTGAAATGTTAATAAATGAACTTTAAAAGGCTGTACCCTTTAGGGGTAAGTCTTAATTCCCAGAGGGAAGTGTGTGCACACATTTTCCTATTAGTTCTTTATTCAAGTTATGATTATTTGCTTCATATCAAGATAAAACATGAGTCTGGAATAAGGTCAAGTATAGTATAATATTACTCCTTGACGCATATAGTAAGTTATAGAAGGGATTTCCTGTCTTCTAAGAGTGAAAACGAGTGCGGATCAAAAAAATGTAAATTAGGACAGAGTAGACTGAAATTCTCATGAGACAAAATTTGATAAATCTTTACATTTACTTGACCTGCTGCTCAACTTTATATAGCCGGTTATGATGTTCTTATGAATTCTGAAGTGTTGCTCTTTCAAATATTGATTAGTTGTGTGTCAGTTGTAGCATCATTACTCATTAGAGTCTGTGTTTAGATAAGCAGAAGTTTAGAAAGTAATTATATTAACAGTGAATGCAGAAACTGACTCAGCATTTCAAGAATCCTTTGATACCTGCTGCAATTTTCTCTTTTAAGTCTCAGATTTTTTCCTCTTCCTCTTTATCATACAAGGTCTTTAAATTAT